CGGCGTGGGGCCGACAGCCGACTTTCTCCACAACCTGTGCGAGGTGTTCAAAGAACAGGCGATTGAGGCAGAAGAGAGTCATTTCGGAAAGGAAACTGGTAAGTCCTGAAGTAAATCAGCTGTTGGGTGCGCAGTGCAGTTACTTTGCCGGGCGGTCACCTCCCAGGCACGCGTCAGAAAACAGCTTACCTGCTCCTTGCCTTTTTCTCCTCGCAGTCATCAAATATGTGCTTTTGATGTGAGGAAATATTTTTCTAAAATCCGATAAAGTTTCTGAATAGTGAGGAAATAAGTCTGCCATGTGATATTATCGGTGTTCAGAGGGGTTGTGGTAGCGGTAACTGTTCTTGTAGTCGCAACATCTCTTGGACATAGGCATGCGTAGGTCGAGAAAGCAAAAAGTCTTATGTAGCTTTAAAGCTAAAATACTCTTTTGTTTCTCACTGTTTTTATAGGCTTGCATAGTAGTCAGCTGCCAAACATACAGCTCTTATGTCAGAGAAATTCCAGAGTCCTGGAACTTTTTCTTCATATTCTTTTTCTAATTACCTGTCTGTGGAAAATCTTGTTTTCTAATGATCAATAAATCACTTCCCATTTAAAGCAATGGTTTCCTGTCTCGCCGTTTGGTGGTGCCAAATACTTTTCTAAAAGAGACTTTTTAAGAAAGTCATAGAATAACTCCAATTATCAAGAGTTAGGGTTTTCAGTTGGTTGTCTTGGTATCATGATACTAATAAGACTTTTTCTCCCTCACGTACTGTTTGGGCTGTTTAATTAAAGTGACCCTTATTGCTCATTCTCATTATGAAGTCCCTTAGTAATTGACAGAATTTGAATATTACCACAATCAAAATCATGCTTTCTCTTTTCATCACAGTATGTAAACAATTTCATCTGCCTATATGAATGTACTTCTCTAATATTTTCCCTTGGGGATTTCAGCCCGCTTCCTGGAGATAGGTAAATATCATCAAACCTGACAGAAAAGCTGAAACATAGTGCAGCATAATTAGTTTGCCAGAAGTCAAATATTAAGTTAATGTCAGAAATAGAGCCAAGATCTGGAATTCTCTTTACACCTTATTTTTTTCAGTCCCTGAGCAACAGGTTGTAGCATCTATTAAGATTTTCTCTGCTTATTCGGTTTAAAATACTTTCTGTTCTTTGTCTTTAATGCTTTTCTTAATTGTTAGAAGATTGAAGTTTGCCTTAATTTCATCACCTGGTATAGGAAGCAGTGAATCACTGAGAATATCCCTCCCACACATGCACTATGTCCTTTTTGCAAATTCCAGTTCAATTTAAAGAAGTAAAAAGTTTATGTATATAATATTTCTAATTTTTGTTTTCATGATTAGGGTCACAGTTACTGAGTGATTTTAGTTTAAAGTGTGGTAGCTGTCTTGAGCTACCTGTCAGTATTATATAACTGTATTAAAAGGATGCTTTCCCTGTTATTAGGTCCCTTAACATGAATTTTGTACTTCTGGTATCTGAGCTGCTGCATTAGGTTATATCAACATAGCCTCAGGCATGTACTTTTAAGAGGGTTCTTAAAAATATTTGAAAAATTAGTTCTATTTTTCTTTATTATTGTACTTAGTATGCTGTATTTAGTTGATCTGTGAATGGCAGCAGAGTTCTGATTTTTTTTTTTTTTTTTACTGTTGAATGGAACTCGACTAAAAATAGCAGCTCTGCATATTACTAAGTTTTGCAGAACAATCAGTTTCTTGGAAGTTGATTATTATAAACTGTGCTTAAAGGGTACAAACTCCATCCTTGTTACAGACACGCTATTTCGTGGATCACCGGAAAGTGCGTGTGGTTGGAGGACAAGGAGGAGGAGGGGGTCATTCTTTTTATAGCGAACCCAGGAAAATATTTGGAGGTCCTGATGGTGGAAATGGAGGTGATGGGGGTCATGTAATTTTGAAAGGTAAAACTCACTACATCTGTTTTGTTTCATGTTGTCTTACGCTTAACACCCCTCCCAGCGAAGACAACCCTACGCGTATGGTAGGACATGGTAAATATCAAAAATGTTTAAATGGTTATTTCTGTATAAGATGTCTTTGCTTTTTAAGCTTTGTCCTGAGCTGTCCTAACAGAGACGTAAATGACACTCACAACCTTAGAAAGCATTCTGAAAATCAAGGTACTTAGCAGACGTTTTAGTGGCTGGTGCCTGACTGTGTTATGACGAGGCTGGGATTTGACCAAATTTTACTCTTAAGAGGGATAAAGCTGCTTCTACCACCACCCTGCTGAAAAATCTGCTAACCTAGCAAATGAATTTTCTAGAGTATTTTGAAATGGCCGATTTTGGAATGACCTCTTAATAAAGTGCATGATTAATAAACCTAAGCAGATAAGTAAAGGCAGTTAAACTTCATCACAACTTACTTTAATATTAATCTTACCTGATATGTTGTTGCTGAGACAGTAAATAGGTTATTTGTTCATGCATTTTCAGAAAGGGAAACAACAGTCAAGAGGCTGCTCTTCTGTGCCTGTTCCACTAAAACAATGTGTTTAAAATATGTGTATTTTGCTTTACAGCTGACCGGCAAATGAAATCACTTTCTTCAGTCCTCCCCTTCTATCAAGGTTTTCATGGAGAGAGAGGGGGAAGCAAAAACTGTTATGGAGCTAATGGTGCATACGTCTATGTTAAAGTAAGTAAATTAAGGTTGCATGCTAGTGTGTTAGCTTTGTAGTAACATTGCTGATTTTCAAGCTGGATGACCTTACTGTGAGAAAAATCTCACATGTGTTTTTGCAGGGAGCCTTGTGTGCTGTCTGTGCTGAGACAGGGCTGTCCTTGGCACAAGGACAGATCAAGCTGCTTTAAATTGTTTATAAAATGGACTTCTTTGGAAGGTACATCTGGCCAAAACAAATACTGTCCTGATTTGCTTTACTTCTAAGGATCATATGCCTATAGCAATCAGAACGTCTTGAATATGAGCAGACTTTTTTTCTTTCATACTTTTATTCTTCAACATGCCTGTTCTGGTGCACACCTACAATATGTTTCTTAGCCCACTACTGTGTTTAGGCGTCTTTGCTTAAAAGGAGAGAAAGAGGGTTATGATTCTGTTAACACTTTAATGAAGTGTAAATGTCTGACAGAGCTGTTAGGGTTCAGAAAGCAAGTCTTTTGAAGTCCACTTCTCTTTCTGGATTCCCCAGCTTGAGAATACGGAGGAATGATTTTCAACAAATCTGAAATCAGCTGATAAAGGATCTGCTGAAGACAGCTCTGCTGCAGACTTTGAGCTTCAGTATAATGTTTGCATCTCTCTTTACTTTAAGGTCCCTGTAGGTACATTGGTTAAGGAGGATGGGAAAGTTGTGGCTGACCTCACTCAACACGGTGAAGAGTATGTTGCAGCTTATGGAGGAGCTGGAGGGAAAGGTAATCGCTTTTTTCTTTCCAATGAAAACCGAGCTCCAACATTATTTACTCCAGGAGAGCCAGGTCAGGAAAGGGTCCTCTATCTGGAACTCAAGACAACAGCTCATGCAGGATTGGTGAGTGTTGCTGTCATTCTTCAACTTCCTTATTGTTGTAGGGTGACACTTGACTGACTGAAGAAATAATGTTTGATAACATTTTTGTTAGCCTTTTGGCTTGTTTGTTTAGAGATGCAACTTGATGCTTTCTTGCTGTTACTTGGTAGAATGGCATCTGAAGTGATTTGCAGAGCTGTCACTCTCTTGCTACTTGATGTCATCCTACTTTTGCTAAAATCAACAGTGTGTATAGAAAAGCAACCTGCAAGATTCATCAATGATTAATGGACTCACTGGTGATGTACAGCAGGTTTTGTCTGCTGATTCTGCAGATAAACAGTAGAGTATGGAGAGCTCTTCTAAATAAGTTTGTTTTCTTGTTTTTTAAAAATAACAAAATTGAAAAAGTTCAAATCATCTATTTCATCCCTGTTTTTCTCTTTTTGCAGATATTAAACACTTGACTTTGTTAGTTGCAGATCTAGCATCCTCTGAAATGAAAAATGCTATTTAGAAATGAATGCTAAGTCAATTTAGGGCTTAAGCTGGTTTCATTTTTAAGTATGGAAGTGTTTTAACACCAGCTGGTAAAGCTGTTAAAATGACGCTTTGCTGCAAAACATTCTTGCTGTAGTTCAACAACTGCAGAATAACTGTCTGATCTAGCAGAATTTTGTGAATTTATTTCAAGACTGAGAAAAGAGTTGGCACTGGTGGATCAGTACACTTAATTCTCTGACCAGCTGGACACTCTGGTCCACTTCTCACATTTTTAGCACTGTTTTGGAAGTCTGAGACAAATCTGTTCCGTACTTCACTTCCTCTGACAAGAATTCAGTGTGTCTGACATAAGCAAATAGGAGACTTTAGGATTTGATCTACTTTCATCTGGGGGTTATTGACCATCTATGTAGCTGTCGTATGTCAACTGTAGGATATCCCAGAGTCACTGAATTTCTGGGGTAGGTTTGTTTAAATTCTTGCCTTCTCCCCGGAAGGCCAAGTTTCAATTTAATTCTTTGATGTCAAGTCTATGAAGAGCTGTAAAATCCCAAACTTGTAGGCATTCTGGTTACTTATAGGCCAAACTGTGTTACTGAGTCAGGGACAAAGGCAATTCTGAATTCTTTTGAAAAATAATAAATCAGAGTTAGAAAACAGAGATAAAATGGGAAGTGCAGGACAAAGTGTCATAACATTATTTCAGGACAAAAGAGATCTTATGGTATATACCGTTTTGGCTCTGAACAAAGTAAACGTTTAAGATGACACAAAAATGTTAAGGGGACCCTTCTGTGTTTGAGTGATTTAATGTTTATGAGAAAATAATCAATAAAACAGGGTTTAGGAGAAACAAAAAAGGGAAACCAGGATACTTTTCCGAACTAAGTACAAAATCAATGTTGTTCATTCATGCTGGAAGAACCTTGCTGCATCTGCAAAAGCTTACAGGTTTTTTTATTGGGATTGACCTAGAACTGTGGCTTTAATAAGTGTTTGTATTCCAGGTGGGCTTTCCCAATGCTGGCAAATCATCACTTTTGAGAGCAATCTCCAGTGCAAAGCCAGCAGTGGCTGCCTACCCATTCACAACGCTAAATCCCCATGTCGGTGTTGTCCGCTATCAAGATTATGAACAAGTAGCAGGTAAGAATTGTAGTATGTGGTGTGCACCTTGATAGCAAATTGTGTCACCTGGGTTGTTATTTGAAATGCCGCACAAGTAGATGTAGCAGTTCTGTAGAATTCTTGCTAGTTCTAAAGAACTTAAAACAATATTGAAAGCCCATTTCGCATTCACTTATATGTGGCCTTAATATCAAACTAGCAATCTGTATTCTATCTTCACTGGAATAATCTAAATGTAGGTGTTTTAAAAGATAATAGCAGCCAAAGTTAGCTTGAGGCATGCCTTAATATTGATGGGTTGAGATGCAATTCTAAAAGTACTTTAAGTGGCCAGTAAAAGACTGGGGGTTTTTTGTTGGATATGTTGGATTCACTGTGAAATTTCTCTCATTGTAGTTGCTGACATTCCAGGCCTAATAAAAGGTGCTCATCAAAACAGGGGCCTTGGGATGGCCTTCCTAAGGCATATTGAACGCTGCTGCTTTCTCTTGTATGTGGTGGATCTCTCTGTGTCTCAGCCATGGATTCAGCTGCAAGACTTAAAATATGAGCTGGAACAATATAAAAAAGGATTGTCTGAGAGGCCTTGTGTTGTCATCGGGAATAAGATTGACCTTGCTCAGTCCAGGATCAATCTACCACTCCTTAAAGAACAGATAGACACCCGGGTCATTGCATTGTCTGCATTGACAGGGGACAACTTGGAGGAACTGTTTTTGCATTTGAGAGAACTATATGACACTTATGTGAAGATGGAACAATCACGAGAGCAAAGCCCGGCCAAGTGGTAGGAACCAGAACTACTGTGAACTGCATTGGAAGGAGAGGGGGGAAAAAAAGAATCATCATTTGATTAGATTGCATCTGTGTGGTTTTGGTTTTTTGTGAGTTGTGTTTTTTGGTTTTTGGGGTTTTTTTTAAATGCAAGGGACACAGTATGTTGATTTGTCCTGGACTTCTGCATTGGAAAGATGGTTTTTGTTTGTTCACCTTTGAGGTTTCTCAAGTGTTTTACAACAAAATTTGAAAATTGTAATCACGATGGGTGTTGAATTGGAAACCTAGGTCTTGTTTGGTATTAGCTAGTTAATTTGGAATGAAGAGAATGCTATCTAGTAGAAATGACTTGAAATTCAGGATCTGCAGGAGATGCTGGCTTGCTTTCTGAATCAGAGTGAAGTGACTTCTCAATTCTCACTAATCAAAAATTCTAAAATAAAAATAAGGTGGTCCCATGTTTATCTGTTTTTATACCACAACTGCTTTCAGTCATCTCCTCTTAAACTTTTCTCCTGATTTGTTTGGTTGTTTGGTTTTTTTCTCAGATGAGGCACAGCTGCTCAATATTTTTAGGGAGGAGGAGCAGGAAACAGCTGCAATTAATGATTGAAATAATTTCCTCATTAGTATAAATAATTAACTGTCTTTAAATGCTGGTGGCAGCAGCTAAGTAGCTGTGTAAACTAGCAAGGGAACAGTTGTTTGAGACTCACTTCTGCGTTTTCCAGTTTCCTTGAAGAATCTCGAGCAATGTTCTGAGAAATCCTAGGCTTAGATATTCCAAATAAAAAAAAAATACAGTTCTCTGCCTTTTTTTCTTTTTTTGCTACATCATTTTGTGGACAGTGTTCTTAAATTTTTTTTTTTCTAGGAATTCAGAAATCTTCCATTTAGAACAGTGGGTCTTTGCACTCTTCTCATGCTGAAAGAAGAGCTGCTTCTGTAATCTCTGGTTATATTCTGTGTAAAAGAGTATTATCTTGCTAGTGAAAAGTTAAAATTTATCAAAGCATGTTATGAGGCTTTTTCATAAGGGACCCTGACAGATTTGTGGAATGCTGAGACACAAATACTTAAGCAGTCAAGAGAAACGATTGTTCTTGAGCCTTTACTTATGTTTCTTGATTTTTAAAACAGATTAACTTTGCCTTCCAAACCAGCAGTCTGGAATTACAGACCTTGCACATACTTTGTCACATCCATGAAGTATAAAGTAAACTTATGAGCAGTGTCACAAAATAGAAAGATGGGATGTTTGTAAATTTGCCTTTGTTTTTTTGCAGGACAGTTTGGTGCATTATGAAACATGCAGCTATCACTTGTCTTTGGTTAAGCTTTGTTAGCTTACAAATAAGGTTTTCATTAGGTTTAAACTAACATTGGCTATTTTCTACTGTATCAGTAGTAGTGGGAATTATTTAGTGCGTTTTTTAAAAAAAAATCGACTGTAGCCTCTAACTACTTCTTTCTGTATACTACAGTGAAGGTGATAATTCTCTGTCTCTGTCACTTTGCATGTTTTGTTTAGTTTCATCTCTAATACTCTAATGCTTCTGCATGGTGCATCCTTAAAAGACTGGCTTTCTCGGATTCAATGAACAATGGACTTTTTTCCCTGACTCCCTGTGGCTGGGAAGGGGCAGTCTTGTTCAATCTCTACATTAAAGATCAATTCACACCCTCCTGCTTCTATCAGTGTTGGGATCAGCTCTGTGAGTATGATTATGAATTACAACTATCTTTGCCTGAATAAGAAAGAAGATGCATACCCCTTCTTATTCTTAAAAGCAGCAGGTTTTTATTCTGAAAAAGTGCAAGGTTGACTCAAATGCCTGAATTATTAAATAAAAATATGGGCAAAACAGGTAATCCTCTCCTGAATTTACATTCTGAGTATTTCTGTCTGTGATCGCGTCTGGAAAGTAATTATGCATTATAAGCAGTGATACTGGTATAAATGTGATCAGGAAAAAATGAAAACAAATATTAAATCCCCAGGTCACTCTCATGTTTTGTGTCATCCTTGCTTCGTCCCTGGGATTTACCAAACTGAGTTAAGTAGAAGGTAATACTCGGTTCTGTCCTTCTGTTTGGTTTTGTGCAGCATTTTTAGGCTTCACTGTTGGTTTTTCCTTCTATCGCTACATGTTTTTCAGCCACATTTAATAAAACCAGGAAAAGATTGCCTGAACACAAAACCTAGTGCAGCTTCCTTGCAGAACATTTGATACCTACAAATACTTGGTGCTCTCTCTCAGTGTGTTTCAGCATTTGGCAATCTTTGAGAATGACAGAGACTGTTTTAAAAGCCTCTGTACTCACAGGAGCTTTCACCCTTAGTTGCTAGTGCTCATGCAACCTCAGTTCTTGGAGTGGAGAGTATTTTGTGTACTGATGTGCTAAAAGCACAGCAGGTTGCTAGATAGCTTATCAGAATGTCCTATTGATCATATAATTGGTTTCTTTGTTCTTAACATTTCAGCCACCTGTTCTGAGATAACAGTACCAAGTTCCTAACTACATGCTTACAGGGTTCAAAGAGGAGCACATACTCCTTCATCTGTCAACAAAAAGTGCCAAATAGCTCCAGCTTTAGAGTTGGAACAACTGTTTGTAGGAGCTTGAGCTGTAGTCGATATACATCTATACCAAATGAAGTAACCTCATGCTAGAGGTCCCTATGCTAATGCTGAACAAAAGGAGAGGCTGTGTGCTGCTCAGCACAACACAGAGTTAACAGCTTGGGTCACAGTTCTCTGTAGTGCTCCTTCAGTATTAACATGAAGATCTCTTGCATCCCATTCTAATTATGAGGTGCAGAACTGAGGGGTAACCTCTGGTTCTGCTGAAAATAAGGTATTTAGAAAGGAAACTGGTTTTACATCTAGGAATAGAGAATTAGAAATAATCAGGTTAAGAGAGAGAATGATGAATTGTTTCGGAGAGGAAGGATGTGCTATAGGAATTCTTCCCACTTTTTGTTTTGCCAGGGTTAGGGTGGGTGCGCTTGTTTCTTTTTAGGTTTTGGAGGAGTTTTGGTGCCTGTCTCCTGCATGACTTTCCTTAACTAGCTTTTGCTTTTCTCTGCTGAAAGCTTTGATGTTGTCCTTGCTTTTCAAGTTGACAAGAGGGAAGAGGTGGGAGGTTTATTTCTCATTCTGACAATAAGCCTTATTGTAATGCGAATTGAAGTCTAGTCTATTTTATATTTTCTGGAGAAGCTTGAGCCATAATTTTGTTTAGCACTTTACAGTTCTAGTACTCATCTTTTTAATACATTTTTTTTTAGTTCATGATTACAGTAGTATTTTAGTTCTAATTATGCCTTTTATATTTATTTACAATCTTCTCCCCCTTTGTAGGTTCTTGGAAAATGCAGGTGGTATCAATTGAACGGAAAAAGAAAATGAACTATTAAGGTGAAAACAAGCATTACAAAGGACCACACTTCTTGAACATGAATATTGAGGACTCATTGCAGTACATTAAATAGAACATTGAATCAGTGTGTTTAAGCATGGTATATTTTGAAATCTGCTTTACTTACATGTTTTTGTTAAGCACTTTTTTTTTATGGTAAGTGAACAGGTACTCTGACTTGAACATGTTCAAAAACATGTAACCCGTTATTTTAAAATATTGATTCAAATTACAGAACTACAGGAATGGCTATGAACTGGAGATACTAGTGCTGATAGAACCGGACTTTGCCATAGTTTGCACGTGTTTGTACAAGCTCCTGGATACAGAACACCAATTGTAACTTCTTTGCTGTCTTGTCTTCCACAGGATATTGCTGACTGGTCTCGTTAGCTGGCACCTGTAATGTAAGGTTAATGTTGGCACCAGAGGTTAGGTGTGTTGCAAGTCTGCAATTTAATGAGTTATTAATTGAATGGCAGGTGGAACATAAATAGGGAGCAGACAGGAATGCTAATGTGTTGTTTGAACTGTTAACTCTGCAGTGGAAATTAAAAGACAATGAATATATGTTTTGGCTTGATCTTTCTACAAATGTCACTGTTGTATAAAAATGGATTTTTACTTTGGGAGCTCTTATTTTTGGGGACACAGCAGCCCATAATCTGGAGATTGCTGTCTTGCATACAAGTTACGAGATGAGGCTTTTTGGGAGAGTTAGTACTTTGTACAGTGTGTGTGTAGGGAGAATAGGTAAGTTTGGAGCTCAGCATCTCTGCAACAGGTCTACAGCCCTGTTGTTCCTGTGAAAGTGATAGCTTGGTTTTAGACCACTTCCATTAATGAGGTTCATCACCATGGTGAAAGTGGCTTTGATATAAATTAAAACTTGATCCTGATACTGCTAAACTTCATCCCAATATTGATGTGTGCCTAGCCTTTAAAGAGCAGCTTTGTTTTCTTCTGTTTGTCTTCCACACTGCAGTTTCCAATGTTGTTCCCCATTAACAAGTTTCCCCATCTTCTTAAATAGAGACTAATTGTGCCTGCACTACAGAGGTCTGGAAAGACCGAAGTTATTAACATTTGGAGGGGAAGTGATATATGTGTGGCAATAATGATCAGGGATGATTTTGCAACTCTTGATAATAGACCAAAGCTACCTTCAAGCTGCACTCTAGGTTTTTCTCTATGCAATTCTGAAATTTATTGGGTGGTATGTGCCCATTTTTCTGAGACATAAAACACAGCTGGTAGGACAAAGGCAGAGAGATTTTTATCAACCTTATTTTAATATTGTGATTGTGTTTGCCCTTTATTTTCCTACTGAGAGTAATTTTTCATCTCCTCTTCCTGATTGAAATAGAATTGTCCAAGGAGGCCTGAACAGCATCTGATTTCTTATTCACAGGAGTTTTTTTCTTTGCCCTTGTTTATATGAAATATTGCTTTGACTCCTTGAAGTGTGCATTCCTTGGTTAGCCTCTATTCTTTGCTTATCACTATACTGTTATGTCCCCAAGGTGGAAGTATTTGTGTATTATATATGTATTTCCGGAATGATGAGTGAAGACAAAAGACTAGCCATACT